CGGGTGTGACTGGCGGTCTTGGCGGTCCGGGTGGTTGTGGTGGTATATAAGGTCCAGGTGTCACTGGTGGTCCTGGTGGTCTAGGTGGTCTATGTGTAGATGGTGTTGGGAATGGCTCTTTTGGTATTGGATAAGTGTATCCAGTAACTGATGTCCTAGAAGTGGTTATGTATGTTGATGGCGTCCCAGGCGGTCTGGGAGTATAGGTTGGTGTTCCTGGCGGTGCAGGAGTATAGGTTGGTGTTCCGGGCGGTCTGGGACTGTATGTTGGTGGTGTTCCTTGCGAATATGTAGGTGGTGTTGGATATCCCGTCGGTGGTGGCCTGTTCGTGGTAGGGCATCAGAGAACATACATATTTCACCATTAAATTCATTTCTTTACATCGCTACATTAGGTAGGTACTTTATTATGAAATTGCAAATAATCCAAGAAGTCTCACCGTGGCGGTAAAGTTAACTTGTTATCCGGTGGTTCATAGTTGTAGCCTCCAAAATTTGATTTTCCTATTATCGCTCTTTTGCTTCTCTCATTGGATGCTTGCGCATGATAAATGGAGAGCGCTGCCACTATCGTGGCAATCCATAAGATACGCTGAAAAAAAACATAAATACCCCATATTTTGTGGAACAACGCTAGTTGAAGCGTCATCTATCTTTGAAATCGTAGTAATAGTCAACTAACGAAAGACATTCATTCAGAAATGCCCGTCTATGGATAGCGACCTCGATTTATAATGGCTACGGTTCGAAGTAAATTAAGTCACGGACTGCCACGTAATCGATTATAATATATCGTAGACTGTCTTCGTGGGATTATCTCACGCCTCACCCACCAGCCTCTTACATAATTGGTCTCAACCACGTAGTAGATGATATGATGTACCAATGATCGTGAAAGGTTCGTCCGTGTGAAATGCAACGTACGACACTCTCATTGATTAATAGGCGCTCAATGCTAGAAGACTGTCTTCATACTTACATCCAGCTCCGCTATCTTATTAACACCCCATCAAAGTACCACATCCAAATTTGTTGCTGATTGTTTCGCTAAAATCGCCATAACGAAAGAACAATACTCATTCCTCGCTATTATACAGGAAATTATCTTTCGCTCGTAAACTTCACTTCAGAATTGCAATTTGTGGCGCAACGTCTGTCTTCTTCGAGCCTTTAATTAGTTTCTCGCGGGAACTTCGCGCGCTTCTTTTTTGTTTCATTCCATTAAATGCAAATATCATCTGTTGTAAGCAATTTGATACGAGATTAAGACTTCAGATTATCAAAGCGAGATTATCGTGGTACCCTGTGAGTTCTAGAAGAGTTCGTTTCCCTGGCGTTCCACACGTTCGCGGATTGAACGGGGTCTAATAAAGCCTACCGGTGGCCGCAATTATCATTCGCAGCTCGGAGGTGCGTCATAAATCAGTGGAACCTGGAGAGTAAGGCTCCGTTGTCCAGAAATTAAAACCGTTTTATCCGTTTGCGAAACCGTGAACACGGTACGAATGATGGTTCTGGCTCGAAGGAAACGTCCAGTGACCTTTAGGCGTATAATTTATAAAGAGGGATCGTACGCCGCCACGGGTAGAAGATATTCTCCTCACTGTCTTTCGCCAGTATGTGAAAGGATTCTAATGTATAAGTGGTGTCACGGCGGTCTTCGGTCCGCGGAACACGCGATACAGATCGCAAGGTTACCGTTTTCTTGAGAAATTTTGAGATCTCACAGTTCCCTAGCGCGGATAAATAAATCTTGGAATCTGGAGAAGATTCCAAGGGCGTTATTCGTCTGTGTGCCTAATTCTGGAGAACATGACATGTTTTGTTCAAAAATTACTGTTGTTTTATCATTTCAATCCATGAAATGTTTAGTTTCTCACTATTTTTCAATATTCGACTTTCGAATTCAATGTAATAAATGTATAGGTACAGAACACAAAATGGAGCAGTTAATGCTAATTGTCAATAAATCGGACACTGAATTACATATTGTAAATACAAGTTTTTGAATTGATAACAGCTAATAAAAGTAATCTGCATGATAATGTATAAGTTAGATGTTAAACACTTAAATATCAATTACGATATAATTTCATTAAGTCAATATTAAATTACTCATTGGCACAGGAAATATGTTTCTTCTTATTTCGAGAATTTAATTACGGAATTCTATTACTATTACTATCAGTACGCGAAAGAAGAGGACAGCAGATAGGAAGTGTCTAGTTACCTCAGGACTGGTTCTATTGAGGTTACTATAAGGTTACCATGTCGCTCATGACAAACAGTTGTGCCGCAAGAGTACAATGAACGCTCTCCTATAAGCGCTATCAAAATAAACGAACGTATCTTCACTTTCATCTGAAACGTTTCCAGTGATTACCAAAATCCTACGCTCGGTTTGTTAGAAATCAGCTCGAACAAGAACACCGTTGACTACATTCAAATGCAATGATTAAAATTCCTAGATTATCAACAGTGTGCAACAAATCACGAACAAAGAGTTTTTACTTTCAATGTTTCCCTTTTACCAGCGTTAAACACAAACATGATCGTTCCTAATTGTTCATAAATTTCAAAACCGTTAGACCTCCCGGGGTGTTTCGCACGAAGAATGTAAAACGATCGGTCATTTCAACGGCCGTTTATTTACACCTAGAGAAAGCGGTAACAGTGCGCGAGTAGCGGCCAGGCCTACGGTCATAATGAGAAACCAATGTTACAACAGTTTTCTATGGATGGACAATTCGCGAGCCCGCAAGGTGCAAAATTCTGTCGCAACACAGAAGCCACCGTCCGCTAGTGCTCCTAGCTACCGGGGTTGCCACTGTTAAGAGTGCAAAAAGGAAAAAGTTAAACGCTCGACTATTAGTGGTCGTTGAGCAACCGAGAATCTCCTATATAAAATGATTCGTAGCTAACTACAGTTTCTAATTAGCCGTACAATAGAAAAATGACAGTATTTCCACGCGTGACTCGTTGTTAAACGGAGCTGTTAAGAAGCTTAATTGATTTCAAAATTCTTCTCATCTTCCATTGCGTGTCAGCAGCGACTAATTTGTCAATGGCCTGGCTAACGCCATTTGACGAGGTTCGTTTAATGGGTGAACGGCGACGTTTAACCGAGTCTGGTAAAAAAAATATTGTCTTGCATAATCCAAAGTCGCGGGTTGCGCCTTTGCTACTAATAAAGTGCGAGCTACGTCTCCGGGGTACGGCTTTCTAATTATCTCGCTTCGTGGCCTAGCTAATGTCCGTGCTTGTTAAACGGAGAAAGAAACGCCGAAGCGCATCAATTAAGGTTTGTCGTAACGTGGACGTAGAAAGAGGAAAATCGCAGTGGTAAAAGGAAAATCAATTTCCAGGGAATGGCGAGGGAAGTGTCATAAGTAGAGCGTGCAGTTGTGAATTAACGTTAATTATCTATGTATATGTGTCGAATGGATATTGAATACTTTGCCGTTAGAATCAAGTTCATTTAAATTTACATGTACAGTTGATATCAATTGTTGTTTGTAACACCTTAATTCATACATGCGAACTATAATATAGTTATAATACTTCTCAGATACTATTGATATGATTATCTAATAATAACTCATTATATATTGTTTAGCGACGTGACAAAACATAATTTTGTTTCATATACGATATTACATAGTTCACGAAGAAAAACTAATATCTAACATTGCAATATGCCACGTAACAATTAAATATTCCAAGCGTCGTCTAAAAACTCTCTCAACATATATCCGAATATTTCCGTTGTCAGAGAGAATTCTGCTAAAACAATGGGGCTTCTTGCCATGGACGAATCACGTTCTGCGCAGTTGTAGAAAATTTCTCGTGACGCGTGCCGGCGAATTAAGCGAGGCAGGCTTCTGTCACAGATCGTGACGCGCGAAAAGAAGCACGACATGGGAGAAAGTTCCCGGTTGGTAGGCGCGCGCAGGTTATCTCGTCCGTGTCCCGCGCACTTCACCCACGTAATAACGCGTAACCGCCGTGAAACCGCGCAAGAATGCGATGAAAAAGAGGACCATTGTTGACCGGCCATAAAACGTTCGCATGCTTTTTCTAATTACCATAACAAAGATCAGTACTATTTTGTTCGATCGGCACAGCGTTGAACAACATTGACTACCTGGCGCGTTGCGATAGACGCGTTGCATCTTTATGAAGATGCAAATGACAGTTGGATAAGTGCGCTCGATTCAATAAACATGGATAAAAATAGCAGTCCTTATAACGCGATATTAAATAATTTCTATAAATTTAGCCGAGACGTTAATGGTTCCTCCGCAATCGAACGGAACTGTAATTTCTTTCTTCCTTAATTTATGATGTGAATAGTTTGTTTTGTCAAATGTAGGACAGTATATTTATAATCGAATAGTTAAAAATATTTCTGACTGAGAGGAAAGAATTATTTATACGATCACATTAAATTTGAATCCTCGTGTTACGTTTGATATTGTCAATTACAGAATAATTAAAAAATCGATCTAATTGAAAGACAAGTTCAACAGGATGCACGATACATGAACCCTCCATTAATCGATACTACTTTGTATTCAATGGACGGATTCATTCGAATTAAATATTCAATGACGCAAGAGAATGAATCGGAATATGTATGGACCACAACGCTCGTCCCACTGGTCACGAATCATTAAACGAAACACCAGGTGAATCCTTTTCGGGGGAAAGGTTGAAGGCTCCAAGAACGCGATAACTATTACGTAAATCGAGTTACGACCCGGTAATGTCGGGAACGATAAGCAGAAAATCGTCGGATAGCTCATCAAGAAAAGGAGACCGGGCATTCATCATTCTTATATGAAAGGGCACGAATCGTCCTGAAATTTATTGGTCAATTTCGTCGAGCCGTGGCGCGACGTGACGCAATCAAGATGGCGCGGCGGCGAACGGGCTGTTCGACGCGAAAATGATCCTTAATAAGCGGTCCGACTAAAGAGTCACCGTTCATCGAGAAGAAAGTATTGTTGCATGATAAACAAGTCTCGAATACTTTAAACACTTGTCTACTTAACCTTTCTATAGATTTTTTGAAAGTTTATACCCCGAAGCGTTTTGAAAATATTGTTACCTCGGAGGAATGGGCGATTCGCAAACGTAGATTCACGGGAACGAAGACACGTTACTGCCAACGTGAAAAGAAATATCAAAGCGATATTACTTCGGTTTGCATGTTTGCCGCGTGTTTTATGCCCGCGTTGCAAAATCGACTGGCTGTCATGCGACATTTCGTTGTATAGCAACGTCGAAGGGATGTAACGCGAGTTTATCGCTATCCTGTCGCCAATAATTTTTAGCGCGGCGTGAAAGCATAGATCGACGAGACCGGCTAATAGAGAATATCGTTTAAAGAAAAAAAGTGAAGGTTGTCTTCGGATAGAAACTGAATACCTTCTCGACAGCACGAAAAAAGCATTTAAGTAAAAAAGTACTAATGAAAAAAGAAACATAAAAACGCCGCATTTCATTTGTGTTGAGTC